ATATTTCTTTGTGGTTGTTGTTACCTACTTTTTATTTAAATATAGTTAGTTAATATACAGTGCAATATTGGTTTCAGAACTAGAATTCAGTGATTTAAAAGTTGGAATTTTTTTCAAGATTTTATTTAAATTCAAGTTAGTTAACATATAGGTAATATTAGTATCAGAAGTAGAATTTAGTGATTCATCACTTACGTGTAACACCCAGTGCTCATCACAAGTGCCCTTCTTAATACTCATCACCGATTTAGCCCATTTCCTACCATCAGCCCTGTTTATTCTCTATAGTCTATTGTGGTTTCTTTTCTTCTCTTTCTTCCCTCCATTCCCATATGTTCATCTGTTTTGTTTCTTAAATTCCACGTATAAGTGAAATCATATGATATTTGGTTTCTCTGATTGACTTATTTCATTTAGCAAAATATATTCTAGCTCCATCCGCATCATTGCAAATGGCAAGATTTCATTTCTTTTGATGCTAAGTAATATTCCATTGTATGTATTATAATATGCAATGTAATATATATATACAACGTATATGTATAATATATACACAATGTATATACATAGATACATATATTTATTACATCTTCTTTATTCCTTCATCAGTTGATTGACATTTGGGCTCTCTACATAGTTTGGCTATTGACAATGATTCTATAAACATTGGAGTACATGTACCCCTTCAAATATGTATTTTGGTATATTTTGGGTAAATACCTAATAGTGCAATTGCTGGACCATAGGGTAGTTCTATTTTTAGCATTTTTGAGGAACCTCCATACTGTTCTCCAGAGTGGCTGCACCAGTTTGCATTCCCACCAGCAGTGCAAGAGAGTTCCCTTTCTCCACATCCTCACCAACACCTGATGTTTATTGTATTGTTAATTATAGCCATTCTGATAAGTGTGAGATGGTATCTTATCATGCTCGTGATTTGTATTTCCCTAATAATGAGTGATGTTGAGCATCTTTTCATGTGTCTGTCAGCAATCTGGATGTCATCTTTGTAAAAGTGTCTATTCATGTCTTGTGCCCATTTCCAAACTGGGTTGTATTTTTTTGTGGTTTTGAATTTGATAAGTTCTTTATAGATTTTGATATTAATCCTTTATCATATATATCCTTTGCAAATACCTTCCATACTGACAGACCCCTAGCCAGACTTATTACACACCCAGACAGACACACAAAAAACCCAGAAAGGACCCAAATAGGTAAAATCATGAATGAAAGATGAGAGATAACAACCAACACCACAGAAACATAAGCAATTATAAGAGAATACTATGAAAATTATATGCCAACAAACAAGGCATCTGGAAGATGGACTAATTTCCTAGGAACTCACAAACTACTGAAACTGAATTAGGAAGAAATAGAAAATTTGAACAGACCCATAACCAGCAAAGAAATTCCACCAGTAATCAAAAATCTCCCAACAAAGAAGAGTCCTGGTCCAGATGGCCTCCCAGGGGAATTACACTAGACATTTAAAAAGAGTTAATACCTATTCTCAAATTTCCAAAAAATAGAAATGGAAGGACAGCTTCCAAACTCATTCTCTGAAGCCAGCATAGCCTTGACTCCAAAACCAAAGACTCCGCTGAAACAGAATTACATGCCAATATCCCTAATAAATCTGGATGCAAAAATTCTCAGTGAGATACTAGCAAATCAAATTCAACTGGATATTAAAAGAATTATTCACCATTATCAAGTGGGATATATTCCTGGGCTGCAGAGCTAGTTCAATATTCACAAATCAATCAGTGTGATACATCACATTAAAAGATGAAAGGATAAGAACCACATATCATCCTGTCAATTGATGCAGAAAAAGCATTTTGAGAAAACAGCATCCTCTCTTGATAAAAATCCTTAACAAAGTATGGATATATGGAACATCCCTCAACATCATAAAGGTCATATTTGGAAGACCCACAGCTACTATCATCCTTAATGGGGAAAAACAGAGCCTTTCCCCTAAGAACAAGAAGAACAAGATAAGGATGCCCACTCTCAACATTAGTATTTAATATATTACTGGAAGTATTATCCTGAAAAATCAGACAAAAAAAAAAAAAAAGTAAGGGCATACAAATTGGCAAAGAAGAGATCAAATGTTTACATCTGCAGATGGCATGATATCCTATGTAGAAAACCTGAAAGACTCCATTAAAAAATTGACAGAGCTAATACAAAAATTCAGCAAAGTCTCAGGATATAAAAACAAAATACAAAAATCTGTTGCATTCCTATACACCAATAACAAAGCAGCAGAAAAAGAAAGCAAGAAATTGATTCCACTGGCAACTATACCAGTAAAAGTAAGATACCTAGGTATAAAGCAAACTAAAGAGGCAAAAGACCTGTACTCTGAAAACCATAGAACACTTATGAAAGAAACTTAAGAGGACACAAAGAAATGGAAGAGCATTCCATGCTAATGGATTAAAAGAACAAATATTGTTAAAATGTCTACAGCACCCAAAGCAATCTACACATTTAATGCAATCCCTATGAAAATACCACCAGCATTTTTCCTAGAAGTAGAGCAAACAATCCTAAAATTTATATGGTACCACAAAAGACCACAAATAGTCAAAGTAATCTGAAAAAGGAAAACAAAACTGGAGGCATCACCATTCTGGATTTCAAGCTGTATTGAAAAGCTATAGTCATAAAGACATTATAGTATTGACACAAAAACTCATAGACCAATGAAATAGAAAAGAAACACCAGAAATGGACCCACAACTATATGGCCAACTAATCTTCAACAAAGCAGGAAAGACTATCCAATGGAAAAAAGACAATCTCTTCAATACTATTTTTCTTCAACAGATGGTGTTGGGAAAATTAGATGGTGACATGCAGAAGAATGGAACTGGACAACTTTCTTACACCATATGTAAGAAGAAATTCAAAATACATGAAAGACCTAAATATGAGACAAGAGAACATCAAAATCCTATAGAAGAATATAGGCAGCAACCTCTCTGACCTCCCCTGGAACAACTTCTTCGTAGACACATCACCGAAGGCAAGGGAAACAAAAGCAAACATGAACTACTGGGACGTCATCTTCTGCACATTGAAGCAAACAATCAACAAAACTAAAGGCAGCCTAAAGAATGGGAGAAGGTATTTGCAAAGGATATATATGATAAAGGATTAATATCAAAATCTATAAAGAACTTATCAAATTCAAAACCACAAAAAAGTACAACCCAGTTTGGAAATGGGCACAAGACATGGATAGACACTTTTACAAAGACGACATCCAGATTGCTGACAGACACATGAAAAGATGCTCAACATCACTCATTATTACATGATAAGATACCATCTCACACTTATCAGAATGGCTATAATTAACAATACAATAAACATCAGGTGTTGGTGAGGATGTGGAGAAAGGGAACTCTCTTGCACTGCTGGTGGGAATGCAAACTGGTGCAGCCACTCTGGAGAGGAGAGGAGGAAGGAAAGAAAAGAAAGAAAGAAAGAGAGGGGCAGGGGGGAAGTACAAGAAAAAAGTAAACCTGGTCCTGTTTCCACCAGAACTACACATGTCATTTTGAAGCATTCAATTTTCAGTACAGTTGGTACATGCAGGGTGCTGCCTGTGCTGGTCTTCTTCATGAGAGACTGACTGCATTGGCTCAGAGTCAGTCTTACTACAGTAAATAAGCAGTTACCAGGCACTTTGATGTGGGTTTTGGTGTAACCAGGTCCCATCTCTACTGGGGGCTGCTGTGTTGGTCTCAGAAGTTCTGGTATCTTGGTGTTGGGGGAAAATGGCACCACCCCAATCTTTTGTCCCCAGACAGGATCTCACTTCCCCCACTATTCAGACAGTTTTCACAGATAGTAAGGGCAGTCAGCTCATCTTGCGCCACAGGTCTCTTGAGTTTTTTCTTGGTGTGCAGCTGGCATACAAAACTTGAAAGCTTAATGGGCCGAGCATTGCATGGACCTGTGTCCTTCCTTTGGAGTAGAGCCTCTCCATACTGTGTCAGATGGTTTTTGTCCCAGAAAAATAGTCCCTTGCCAGCATGGTGTGTGAAGTGTATGGTGTAGCACCACTGAAAGCAGCAACAAGGTTATATGCCATCTCCTGTACCTCTGTCCCCTGCTGATGCCATTGGCTGGCACCTATAGGTTCTTTTGTCCTTGGAGATGCAAAAAAACTTCTTCCAAAAGTACTCCAATAAGGGGAATGTTCTCTCCCAGTCTGCCTTGAAGTTGCCTACACCAGGCTATGCACTCTAGTGCCAGCTCCCTCCTTCTCTCCATGACCACACACTACAGCTCTACTCTAGAAAGTCACGCATTTCCAGAATTTTAGAGTTGAGCTCCACATGCTATTTGCAAACAAACAAATGACAAAACATAACAAAAACCTGCAGCACTCAGTACTTCTTGCATCCCAGTCTGTGGTCCAGAGAGATTTTCCTCTTGTGCAAACTCAATACTGCATTCTCTTAACAGCTCTCTCTTTCCCTCCCTTTTTTCTATCAACAGAGAGGGTTTCTTCCCCCTCTCCAGCACTGCCATTTTTCTGTCCCCCAGTTCACATCCATCCACCTCACACCTGTCATGCTGTCTTGTTCCAACTGTGCAGGTACTTCTGCCATTCTGCAGATCAATTTCTTGGGTGTTCCAAGTAATATCTGACCTGAGTAGAGCTGTGTTTGGGGGATGAGGAATGCCCAGGGTTCCCTTTCTTCTCCACTATCTTACCTCCTCCCCCTGGAACTTCTCTTTAGAATACCTCCTATCATTAAAATACTTTTGCACATGAAAGAGTAACCTGTGTTTGGAAAATTCCCTTACCTGGTACTGTGCCTGGTGGTGCTGGTTCCAAAACGCAGTTCAAGCTTAGGTGCTCTGCAGTGGGAGCACCCTCTTCTCAGGTGGTGCTTTAACAAAGTTTTCTGCTGAAAAACTGTCTCCTTTGTGACCTCATTTCATTTTGTTTCCTGTCATTGCAGCAGTTCCACTGTTGGGAAAGGTGGCAGTTCAAAGCTAAAGTCCATGAAGGTACTTGAGGTTCTGAATGCATTGGAAGAGGAGGGGCCCAGCCACAGCAGGGAAGAGATCTTCATTGCACCACCTGACAGTGCCTCAGGGGACTTCACTGATGAGGACTCAGGTGACGAAGATTCCCAGAGAGGCTACCATCTGCCTGGTAGTGTGATGCATGCTTCTGTTGTGCCTGAAGACTCTGGCACTGAGGAGGAGGATGTTGACTTGCAGCCACCACCAGCCATGAAGAGGCAAAAAGCAGTAGTGGACCCTCAGCGTGTTTGGATCAAAAGAGATATCCGACCCAACTTCAGCAATTGGACTCCATCAGATCCTCACATAGAGGATCTCAAAAGCCAGGAATTGAGTCCTGTAGGCCTGTTTGAGTTGTTTTTTGATGAAGGAACTATTAATTTCATTGTTAATGAAACCAATCGTTATGCTTGGCAGAAAAATGTCAACCTCGGGCTCACAGCCCAGGAATTAAAGTGTGTTTTGGGAATTTTGATTTTAAGTGGGTATATATCCTATCCAAGGAGAAGGATGTTTTGGGAAACATCTCCTGATTCACATCATCATCTTGTGGCTGATGCAATTAGAAGGGACAGGTTTGAACTGATCTTTTCATACATGCATTTTGCAGATAATAATGAGCTGGATGAAAGTGATAGGTTTGCCAAGGTCAGGCCTCTCATTGTCCGGATGAATTGCAATTTCCAGAAGCACGCACCCTTAGAAGAGTTCTACAGCTTTGGTGAGTCCATGTGTGAATACTTTGGGCACCGGGGATCTAAGCAGCTGCCTGCGGGGAAACCCATGCGGCTGGGCTACAAGATCTGGTGTGGGACAACCAGCAGGGGCTATCTGGTGTGGTTTGAGCCTTCACAGGGCACACTGTTCACTAAGTCAGACAGGGGCTTGGACTTAGGAGGCAGTATGGTGGTAAAATTTGTGGATGCTCTTCAGGAGCGTGGCTGTTTGCCATACCACATATTTTTTGACAAAGTTTTTACAAGTGTCAAACTCATGTCCATTTTGAGGAAAAAGGGGGTGAAGGCCACCGGAACTGTTCGTGAATACAGGACTGAGCGATGTCCCCTCAAAGATCCCAAAGAACTTAAGAAAATGAAGAGGGGTTCATTTGATTATAAAGTTGATGAGAGTGAGGAGATTATCGTGTGCCGCTGGCATGATACCAGTGTGGTTAACATCTGCTCCAATGCTGTGGGCATAGAGCCAGTGGAGCTGACCGGCCATCATTCAGGAATAGCCAAGACACGGACCCAGGTCCATCAACCATCCCTGGTGAAGTTGTACCAGGAAAAAGTGGGAGGGGTCAGCCGGATGGACCAGAACATTGCCAAGTACAAGGTGAAGATCCGGGGCATGAAGTGGTACTCAAGCTTCATTGGCTATGTCATCGATGCTGCCCTCAATAATGCATGGCAGCTACACAGGATCTGCAGCCATGATGCCCAGGTAGACCTCCTGGCCTTCCGGAGATATGTGGCCTGTGTGTACCTAGAGAGCAATGCTGACATGTCGTCCCAAGGGAGGCGAAGCAGACGGCTGGAAACTGAGAGCCGCTTTGACATGATTGGTCACTGGATCGTCCACCAGGACAAGAGGACTCGGTGTGCCCTTTGCCACTCGCAGACCAACACCCGCTGCGAGAAATGCCAGAAGGGTGTCCATGCCAAGTGTTTCAGGGAGTACCACATTCGGTGATGCACATTGGACAGAGGGAGCCCTGTGGATGTTTGGTTTATAATGAAATGTTTATAGGGGCGCCTGGGTGGCTTAGTCGGTTAAGTGTCCGACTTTCGCTTAGGTCATGATCTCGCGGTTCGTGGGTTTGAGCCCCTCTTCGGGCTCTGTGCTGACTGTCAGCTCAGAGCCTGGAGCCTGTTTTAGTCTGTGACTCCCTCTCTCTCTGACCCTCCCCTGCTCTCGCTGTCTCTCTCTCTCTCTCTCTCCTAGAAATAAATAAAACATTTAAAAAAAAAAAAAAGAAAGAAATGTTTATAGCTGATTTCATGTAGCAGATGGAGCACTTGTGTTTTATTTGTGTTGGAAAAAACACCTGAATCCCTAATGATTTGGTCTTGTATTTTCTCCCCACGTCCATCACAGTTATCTTTTGTCTTCTGTGGTACCTACATGTAACATAAATTAATGTTTATGTTGGTAATTATAGGTGTTTGTAACAATCTATAGATTATACTGTTATTTGGGGCGCCTGGGTGGCTTAGTCGGTTAAGCGTCCGACTTTCGCTTAGGTCATGATCTCGCGGTTTGTGGGTTCGAGCCCCGCGTCGGGCTCTGTGCTGACTGCCAGCTCAGAGCCCGGAGCCTGTTTCAGTCTGTGACTCCCTCTCTCTCTGACCCTCCCCTGCTCACATTGTCTCTCTCTCTCTCTCTCTCTCCTAGAAATAAATAAAATATTTAAAAAAAAAAAAAAGATTATACTGTTATTTATTTCAACTAAAATAAAAAACTTGCTTTGGGTGATAGGTGTGTCCTAGTAAGGATAATCAAATAGAGCCAAAAATTTTAAAGAAATTTTCATGAATAGTAAAAAGGTTTTATAATTGTATACTATTGATTTTAATATAAGGTGAGAAAATAGTATGTAAGTGTGGTATCAGTATGATGAAGGAGATTTTAATCATATTTATTTCAGTTTGCCACTAGCAAATTGTCCAGGAATATAGATAATCAGCTTTATTTTTATCCGGAGGGCTAGATTTGTAGACTATCTATTTTCTTGATAAAAATATTTTCCTAATACAAGTATATCCTTATGAAATTCATTTTTATAACTAGTGTAAGATAGGTATCTGGTTTTCCACCTCCCTAAGCAATGGTTTGTATCATTTATTAAAACACTTATATTTTCCAGTTGATTTAAATTCTAATTTTATAAGGGGGAGGAGTTCAGATAGTGGTGAAGTAGGGGGACCTGGGCTAGTCTCAGTACCTCAAATACAGCTAGCTCAACATCAAATCACTTTTTTGAACAGTTTATTGTGAAGTTGGTTTCCATGTAACACCCAGTGCTCATCCCCACAACTGCCCTCCTCCATGACCATCATCCCCCTTCCCCTCCTCCCCACCCCATCAGTTCTCAATTTGTTCTCAGCATTCAAGAGTCTCTCATGGTTTGCCTCTCTCCCTCTCTCCCACTATTTTTCCCCTCATCTTCTCCCCCACAGTCCTCCGTTAAGTTCCTCTTATTCCTCCTATACATGCAAACATATGGTAGCTGTCCTTCTCTGCCTGACTTATTTCACTCAGCATAACACCCTCAAGGTCCATCCATGTTGCTACACATGGCCAGATTTCAT